GAGAGAAGAGGAGAGAGAGAGAGAGAGAGAGAGAGAGGAAGAAGGGAGAGGGAGGGGCCGCTGCCCATTGCCCTACAAGGACAGTGGATTCATTAATTGTAAAGTGGAAAAAAGAAAAAATATGAGGTTCAGAGGTGTTTATGAGTACATATAGAGATTTGCTCTAATTTATGTCAAAAGTAATTGGGGAACATTCAACATTTTGCTTAAACTGGATGTCATTTTTGCATTTTTTTTCATAAAACAGTGCTTTCCCGAAATTAGTTTTTGAACTCCGAGACATCCTTGCACTTTCCTGTTAGTAGTGTCATATGCTCAGACATACCTGGCATTGTGCTGAGAAATCGAGCCAACATCTCGGTCTTCTCCATTCCTTTCATGTTGTGCCTTCTTCTATTCACAGAGGGCAAGCAGATAAAATGCTAAAGAGCTCAATTCTCTCACACCATGAACAAATGTTGAGACCAATCAGAAAAAGAGAGAAGCAGAAGATTTTAGAAGCACTGTTTTATAACTTATAAATTGGTGAAGAAATGTTCTAATCTCTACGACTATCATTTGGTTGACTTTAATATCAGAAACTAAACTAAATAATTCAGACAATCATCACATCAAGACTTGGGTGGAAGTAGTGAAAAAGTATATGGGGACTTGTAGCCTCATTGAGGGTATGACCCTTAATAGAGCAGAATGGCAGACCAGGATTCATGTAGCCGCCCCCAAATAGTTGGGAAAAGGCTCTGATGATTATGATGATGCTTGGGTTGAAGATACAGAGAATGCTTCAACAAAGAAAACCATTAAATTGATATATAACCACTGGAAAAGTTAAACAATTATACTTCCAATATTAAATGCTAACACACTTAAGGAGTATCAAGGGTTGACCATTATATATCAAAAAAAATTAAACTTTAAAAATCTACAATAGATCATTTTTCACAAAGGTCAAAATTCAGGAAAAAACATTTGACAAGATCTTTGTGCATTTTGTGTGAGTGAAAGCCGAGGGACTTAGGAAAAGAGCCCGGGCTTAATTGGTTAGTGCTTGATGATTTGCAATGCTACGTCCTAAACTCAATTCCTACCAGGGTAGGGGCCCTCTCCCCATTGACCCACCCAAAAGAAAAAAAGCCGAGGGACTTCTAAGAAAATTTCCCATCACTTAGGCAGGAAGCCCAACTGCCAAACAAATCATCTTTTTGCCTTTATTCGCTTTCTTGGGCCTCTTTATTGCTCTAAAAGCATTCTTTATTGTATATATTCTTTGTGCAAATCTTATGTAAAACAAACTTCACTGAGCATCTTGTGCAAGTTCATTTCTATGAGAGCATTTGGACTTCAGATATTCTTTCGCTAGGATGCAGGATGAGATTAGTTAGATATTATCAGAAACTTAGATAAGCAATTTGCTCATAGATCCAAATTTATGAAACCAGAGAATCCTCAAACAGATAATCCCTTAAGTTCACATGAGAATTTCAAGTAGCCCTAGATTTGCTATCGTTCTAACCATCCCAGAACATTAAACATACGATATCCTATCCACTTATATCTGCAGATAATAATATTCAATACTAGGTTGTACCTGATCAACTGCATTTTATTTTACCTTGTTCCTATGGGCTTTCTTTTCCTTTTGGAATTTCTCTGCTTTCATAAGTTCCGAACCCACCCATTTCTTCTTAAAAAAAGATGGATCTGAATATCGCTTCAAACATGCACCAGAACCACCCGTATCAAACCTGAAACAACGACCATAATTCAGTACATATATAGAATACAACTAGCTATAATATAATGGGAAACGTAAACACAAAATACATTACCTATCTAGCAAGTATAATCTGGGAGGACCACGACACTCTTCATAGGCATCCATAATGAATCGAGGTAAGTCACCTCGAGTGAGGTGATTTTGGTCTATTTGAATTTGAGTATGCCATTCAGAACCTGCAAAAAACCTGTGTTCCGTCAAGATGATGAAACACTAAAGCACAACAAACAAAGAAAATTTCTTCCAGCAAAGCTCCGACAATGGGCATTTTTAGTCAAATTAAAGGTCATAATTTTTGTTTCTGTAACATCATTTGAACAAGAGAAGTTCTCTCACAATGTAACAATGTAAATATGAAGTAATAACTAAAACCCCAGTAACCCAAAGCATTGAAGATTGTAACAGTCAAGGTAAAGACCACGACAAGCACAAGAATCTAGAGTTCCAGATTACTTGTTGGTCTTTCATTTCAGTAATTTACAGAGAACATGAAAACTACTCTTGAAATAGAATATTTAAAGTATTTTTTTCTGGCATATCATTCATGAAACATCAAAAACACAGAGACCTTAGTCTAGAATAACACGTTATAGAGAGTTAAAAGTATCCCAGGACAGAGTCTCCATCTATGGCTTCATACTTCATAGATGCCATTGCTTATTTCTCTGAAAGGTCCATAGATACCATGGATGATGACTTCTGACAGTATCATTCTGTTTGAAGTTTAAACGAAAAACTTTCACCACAACAAAAGCAGTGAGCTTCTAAATCTAGACAGGCAAAATCTGCCCCGGAATTTGATGATTTTAATACCACCCTTCATGGCACCACAGCTTGCAGTGGCTCCAGATTTCCAAAGCCCCATCCTCCACATCAATGTATCAAACTCAGTGACTTGGGTTGGACTCGCCTGAGTCACTTGGACATGGCAGGATGCCAGCTCTGGTTGCAAAACTAGAGTCTGACGGCGTCATGGACCTTCCATATCAAATCGGCTGGTTGAGCCTCTGACCAGGCCGAGTCAGATTGCTGACTTGGGCTTGGGGACCCTGGGGAGCCCAAGCTTGAGTACATGTTTTTTATCACTGCTCTGTGTCAATTGACCAAACCACCAAGTCAAACATAAGGAGACGATGCAGGGCACAATCAGATTGGCCTACCAATATTGACAGCTAACAATAATCACTACATGCCTAAGTGATCCAGATCAGTTGAAATAACTAGGTGTATGAATGATAAATAGAATCACTAAAACTAACAGCTAAGTTCTTGCATTTTTTTGTAATCCAGTCTATTTTACCCACATGTACATTTTAGTCAATTTTTATCATAAACACCACATTTCAGATATTCACATTCTCCATTTCGACAATGGAAAGTTATTAGCATTGCTGGCTCAGATCCCCCTAAAGGATCCCAGATATTCATATTCTCCATTTCCAAACATGCTGAAATTGTACCAAATGTTATCCATATGGTTTTCCAGACATCCCAGAAAACAGAAGTCAACTTCATGGTTTTCCTAAGTAGCTTTACAAGACAATAATAACTCAAATGAATAGATATGAGCAACACATAGTTCCCAATATTGATCATACAAAGAGACCTTGGCATTCTGAATGAATTACAGCTACAAAGTAATTCCAACTAAACTATGACCAACCCACATCCAGCTGCCTGACAGAAGCAGAAAGTTATAAGATAATAAACAAAACCTAAAAGTCTTGGTAGGTTAGGCAGGTCATGGCTTTCCAAGTCCCCAACAATATATGATTATTGCAAAATCTCAGTTTAACTTCCGAAACACTTCTTTCATATCCAGGTTGCATGGTAATGAATTAATGATAACAGTGTCCATGGCAGAAGGTAAATGAACGACTAACTACCATTACACTTAGGGATGTCTTTTAGGGCATGTTTGACAACAGGAACTTCCTGCTCAAAAGCTGGCAGTTTCAGTTCACTGTAGCACTTCCTTGTTTGATAACAGGAAGTGCTACAGAAAACTTACTTTATGAAGTGTTGGGTTCTCAAAAAATCTGAATATAAGGCTTCCATCCCCCATAAGTCTACTCCTGCTATTTTTTAGTAAGCATGGCTCTCGCCTTCTTTTTCCCTTCCCATGTACTTTATCTAACTCCCCTTACTCCTTCTCTCTAACTATGCCCTTTTTTCAAATCCTCTCTCTAACCATGCCATTCCTCTCTCCAACTTTTTCTCTAACCGTTCCCTTTATCTAAGATTCTAACTCCTTTCTCTCTCTAAGTGTATCCTTTCTCTCCAATACATTTTTCTCTCTAACTCCTCCCTCTTAAACCATGCATGGCTCTCCCTAATTTACACCAACCATGCCTTATTTTTTCTAGCCGTTCTCTTTCTCTCTCTGAATCCTTTTTCTAGTCATGCCTCTTCTCTAACACTCCAACTCCTTTATTTCTCTAATCATGCCATTTCTCTAACTCTCCTTTAACTCTTATTCTCTCTCTAACCCTGTCCCTTCTCTCTCTAAGCTCTCTCTCTCTAATCATGTCCTTTTTCTCTCTAACTCCATTTTCTCTCTTAATTTTCTAACTCTCTCTAACTCCATTTTCTCTCTTAATTTTCCAACTCTCTCTAACTCCTGCCATTTTCTAACCATGTCCTTTTTCACTAAGTCCTCTGGCCCTTTGTTTCCCCTTTCACTCTCTAAATGTGCCATTTCTCTCTCTAACTGTGTCTCTATCTAAATGTGCCATTTCTCTCTCAAACTGTGTCTCTCTCTAAATGCTATTTCTCTAACTGTGCCCTTTCTCTTCTATAGTATCTCTTTCTGAAGCCTAATCGCTGTTGAACTTTGTTTGATCACTATGAGGTCTGATTTCTATATTTGAGAACTTCCAAACAAGTTATCCAACAAGTATTCCAGAAATTCCAGATATCAGCAGTTCCAACTTCCATGAAACTAGAACTTCCCGGTTCAGCTACACAACACGCACTTAGGATACCAGTTTTTCCAATCACGACACCCAATCCTCTACCATCATAAGTTAAACCAGTGCAATAAGGCCCTAATGCCGCACACAATCAATACTATACATCAGTTAAAAAGCACCAGTGGAGCAAATCCCACAAAATTCCAAAGTTACATGCCCAAGTGCAAGAACAATATTGGGATGCGAGGCCACTAGGAAGGGCTTGTGCTTGACCCACACTTACCAATCCAGAACAAAGAAAAAGATAAAATAACAAAAAAGGAAATCCTATATCTAGGTTGCAAACACATGAAGAACAATGAAAACAATTGATGACATGAAACGCCTATTGTATATTTGGCGACAATGAATGTCTCTAATATAAGATTTAGGACTTGGGACTCACTAAGTCATCTTGGTTCAGGCATCCCTGACTCATAAAACATGAAGACTCCCCAGTAGCTAGAAACAGGTCAGTCTTATAAAACTTGTCGAGATTTTCACCAAACACGAGAGTCCCAACTCATATCCAATTTTTTAAAAAATATCAACTATGTTAAGAATAATGAAATTTTAACTAGATAACACTTACCTTGTCAATCCAGATTGTGACTAAGCTGAGTCCCAAGAGTCAGCCCAAGTTTTTCAACATTGACAATTCATATAAGACAAGCATGCTAAGTCTCTAATTAACCATAGTTCACAGTCAATACGGAATGATAAAGTTCAGAATTTGCAGCATTTCCCACATAAGAAAAATCTCACTACGTAAAGAAACAGAACTCTGCTCATATTGCATTGCTTATCACAATGGCAAGGAATTAAATTGGGGCCTAATGTGACATGAAAAAATGGAAAGGCTAAATAACCAGAAAATGTCCAATTTATTAGCTGCCAAAAAAGAAAAAACAAATCCACACACCAAATCAGTTGAAACAAAACTTCCAAATTAAAAAAGAAAAGAAAAGAAAAGTTCTTGTGCAAAAGATATAAGGAGTCATGCAAGAAATGGAAATCTCTAAAAATTGGCCTTTTTCCCATCCCAAGAGAGTTACCTTTTGAATAAGCACACTGTATATGGGTTTTTTTACTCAAAATGGATTTCTCAACAGATGGAATCTCCGCCTCTAAGTATTCTAAACGAATCATCATGTTATGGCCCCTTGCAGCTACAGCCATCACTTGCTCATGTAAGTCATGGAAAATCTCTACAGCAAACCTAAAGCAAGGCAAATTATCAGTTCCAGGGTAGATTTATGCATGATATCATGAAAGAAAAAAATAGAAAACTATGCTAAAATTGCATAGGAATGGCTATTATTCAGGGGATTGTATACTATAAGACCATTATCTTTCTTACAACGAGGTCACAATTACTCCCAACCATTAGATGTCAAATTTAATGGCTTGGGATGTGTCACGATGTTCAAATTTTTTTTTTGAACTTTGATTCTAGTCCATGACATTTTTACGTTCACCAGATTTAAAATCTGACAGACAAGAGTGACTGTCAAAAAAGAAGTATATGGTCTCTTTGTATACTTTTCCATTTTTAATAATTAAAATCGCTAGAAACAATAAGCAATGAAGCATCAGCAGAGATAGAGTTGCTCCTGCCATTATAGGTTTTGTATTCGAGGATGAGAAAAAATACAGATTGATCATGGCAGGTGAAAAATGTGAAGAACTAGTATTTTTTATTATTTATTCTGATTTATTTATCTCTTTCGAGGTAGCTTAGCCACGATGAATGTTTTGAAGAGGCATTCAATGCCCTAGTCACCAAGTCAGCAGTCCAAAAGCTAAAATGAGATTGTGTTTACTCATTAGTAGTTTAAAGTAGAAAAATGTGGGAAATGAAATGAGTGCCTAAATATTTTCCCATAATTTGAATGAGAATATAATAAAAGCACCTACAAAACACCATATCTAAGAAATTCAAATAAAAAATTCACTGTTCTTCACACTATTGAGATCTTGGATCCTAATCAAAGGAGAGGCCTCACTAAGAAGGATCAGACTACATGCAGGAATAAGACCCAGATAGTGATAACCCATAGTCATATAAACAATCATAACAATGCAAATACAACTATAACATCATGTAAGCCAACTTAATAATGTAAATACAACCATAACTATGGCGATCAAATTGATGTTGTGGACCCTATTATATAAATTATCATATTTTTCTCCTCAATTGATTTCAAGGACATTCACATTGTCCTTGGGAATGGGCTTGGGGCATCCGAGGTTTGGGGGGCAGCTGCCTCAATCTAACGTCCCAAGTTCCATTTCCATGGTTAATAATTCAAAAAAGAAAAAGAAAAAAGGGAACGATAGATTCACATTGTCCTCAAGCCCCTATAATTGCCTGGCTCATGGGAATATTTAGGCTGTCCTATTAGTAAAAACTTTCTTGACGAGTAAAATTGTAAAGAAACATATTTTAACATTATGTTCCATTGATAAAGCATGCAATCATTAGGCCCTTGTACATACTTAGCAAGGGGGGTTTGGGGTTGGTGGTGGTTGGTTTAAGGAGGAGGGGAGATGGGTGTGTGAAGGAGAGGAATGCTTCACGAATGATACTTTAGACAATTAGACAACATTACATTCCCATCTATTGTATTACTTGCAAGCCCAAGATTTAAGTCTAGTGAGAGGTCATTGTTGGCCAATGTGACAATCAGGAGGCTACTTTTGGCTTCTTTTCGGAGTGAGTTTTTCGAATTTTCTTCAACAACTAGCCCTCAACACAAAAGGATAAGTGGTTTGGTGCAACTTTTCCTTTGGTCACCATCCTACAAGTTACAGCCATCTTTCTCAGGTTCGAAAACATCACTAAAATGGAACCATAGCCCATTTACGACCAACAAATTTAACATAACGCTTCTCAAACATAAAATATCATGCAAACTACAATCGCCAAAAAAAAAAGAACTGCATCTTTTTACTAAGTTGCAATATCCATATGATCGATTTCTATAATGGAATTTCACAAAAGTGTGCTAACAATTACCAAAATTGAAAATGTCAATCAAATCTGCTAAACTCTTATTAAACCAACACATTTGTTGTTTTTAGAATCATACATCAAAACCAAAATTCTTAGCACGGGAGAAAAAGCTCAAGTAATACGACATGAAAAAGGGCAATTCCAAGCCATTATTCAACCTTAGATTTACCGTTTCATTTGTGACCACCATTTGTAAACTAATCCAAAAGGAAAATTCTTCATAAACGAGCCAAAATAGGGATATCATCCTGATTTGGAGCTTGCAGACTCCATCAAACCAACAGGAAAGTAAAATTCTAACCGTAAATTCTATGAAGTTCTCAAATCTCACAAATCGAACTGAGATTTCCACATGGGTCATCCTACATTGGAGTTGACAGACCAAATTAAGAAAAACCGAAAACGAAATCAACCAAGTTCGCCAATAATAACAACACAAAGAACAAAAAGGGTGAAAACAGCGAACTCACTCGGCAAGATCACCGAGCTGGCGCAATATACCAACCAGACCTGCAACCGCAACGCCTTCGAGCAGAGCAGGGGAATCATCTTTCTTTGCAGACCTGTAAATTTCTGGATCCCCCAATCCATACTCGTTTCTCACTTGATACCTAACTAAAGGCATTTCTTCTTCTTCTAATTCCTCCTTTATGGCAAGAAGAGAATGGAAATTACAAGCTCTCTAAGCATTCGCATATTACATGAACTGAAGCATGAAAATTGAAGCTCCAAACCAGTAACACAGATAGAGAGAGAGAGAGAGAGATTTGTTGAAGAAGAGATAAGGTTGATGAGAGAGAGTGTGTGTGTGGGCTTTGAACTGCCTGAGTGCACAAGGCTAGACATTGCCAACTCTGCAAGAAATACTCAGAGATATCATAATGAAAGGCAAAACTTAGTGTAAAATTCCAATTTTAGCCTCAACCAACTGCCGTAAGGACAGTATGGCTGGGCATCTTTCCTCCCTCATTCCAGACGTAAAATTAATTCACAATATAATAATAAAGCAAGGTTAGTTGTATTTTGCAGACGTAAAATTAATTCCCAAAATAATAATAAAGCAAGGTTAGTTGTATTTTGTAGATTATTTTTAAGGAAGCAGTTTCTATGCGGCCAAGCCCGTATTTGTAGAAATGCTGGCCACCTAATACATCTATTTTTCATATGGATTTTAAGACTTAATTTTTAAAGACACGTAATCTCTAACATGGAGATCATAAATACAAAAAAAAATAAATGAAAAAACTAAAAATAATAATTTTTAATAATAAAACATTTGGACCGTTAATTTCCATTGTTTTTAAATGGAACACCTACTTGCATCCATCTTTAAGATAGATGCTTTATACTTGTTAGACCGATGCGGTCCAGCCCGCATGAAATAATTTTTTTTATTTTAATTCATCATATACCTTGGAGATAAACATTTGATGCGGCTTTTGACAAAAAGTGCAGTTTGTATAGAGTCAAGGCTCTAAACAATCAAAGTAAATCTCACATTCAAATGCTGTCGAGAAATGTAGTTTAAATATTGAAAATCTTTGTGATGGCCCTAAAATATATTTTCATCTTCTAATTATAAAATTTAAAACTTCAAAAAAGTGTAGATCAAGCATATCTATGAAAACTTTAAAATTGACGGTCCAAAAATACGTTACAAGATGCACTATTTCCAAAACTTGAAATCCATGTTTTTCTCATGTCCATGCATCTTGATGTCGAGATAATCAACTTGAGGATATTTGGGTATCAAAAGAACCTCTTCTAGTTAAATTTTTTAGGTGGGTTCTAATTTGATTGTTTAGAGCCTCGGCTCTATATAAATGTTTTCTTTTGACAAAATGTACCAAACCGACATCTATATTCAAGTTATGCCAGTCCGACACATTTTGTGTCAGGCTGACTTAGAGAAAGAAAGTGGAACCGTGATAAAAAAAGATAAAGGTAAATTAAAAAATGGGTATTTTGATAAAAAAAAATCACTTTTTTTTAATTTGGAAGTAGATAAAAAATAAACAATAATAGGGTTAATAGTGTGGTGTAAACAATATTGAGAAAAACAATACCTAAAAGGTACAGGGGTGTCCATAATTTTTTTCTATTTTAGACCCTCTATGCCCTTAAACTTTTTTTTTTCAAAAAGAGCAAACCCATCATTTGGTTACTATTATTTTAATAACTACACCTTTCCTAACATTTATTTTAACATGAAAGGGGTAGTCGTGGAAGAAAGTAAAAGAAAAGACATTAGAAAAATAAGGTGGTTGTTACTTTAAATAAATAAATAAAATAAGATGATATGTCAAGTTGAAAGAGTTACATATTGCAAAAATAAAATACTCCAATAAATTTCATTTTTGTGAATAAATTTCATGTGTTCTTGTTTTTTAGCTGGACTTTTGAGAGGGTGGGTACTCTACTAGAGAAAAGGTCGACATCATAGACAATGTGTTTGGTATGTAGATAAAGACCCTAAGTCAAATGCATTTCTAATCCCCCTCAAAAAGCTCTTGTGAGAGCAATAGGAGTCCTTTTAGGGCATCATTTTTTAGGTCATAATATCGTCAATCTAGCCACTAACTCGAGGGAAAAAAATTTAATCACATTTTACTTTATGTTGAAAAAATAACATTTTTCAGGTTTCAAGAAAGAAAAAGTTTATATAAGGTCTGAACCTTATTCATGTAAGGTGCACTTGAAAAATCTTCTAGAAAACATATTTGGACATTAGAAAAACTTTCCAATTAATCTTCTGGATCTCATGATGTATGGCTATGAAGAAAATAAAAAATTTAAATATTAAAATAATGTATTTTGTAACAAGTTATATAGATCGTCTATTTTTAATATTATCTAGTATTTGTGGATTTTCTGGATTTATACTATTTTTGAAAGTTTAAATTTCATAACTAGTGATGAAAATAAATTTTCAAGCTATAATAAGGTTTCCAACGCCAAAGCTAAATCTCGAGACGAATTTTCGAGGTGCACCTTACATCTATAGACTATAGCATAACGACGGCACCTTATATAAACCTCATACTTTATTTAAAATCTCAAAATTAGTTTTTTCTAAATAACAATCCAACTTTATTAAATACACCCCAAATTTTAAGACCAAAATTCTCCTAAATAGCTCTTTTGCTCTCCCCCCCCCCCCCCCCTCCCCCCTCTTGTTGTGCTCTAATACTACTTGTTGTGCGCAGAAGCTCTTTAAACTGATGGGTTAATATTTGACAAATAAAGTATGAGAAATAAAACATGAAACGCATACAACACGAACACAAATATTTATGTGGTTCACCCCAAAAGGGCTACATCCACGGGCACGACAAACTGAAATCTACTATTTTAATGAAAGTTAGATCAAATATTTTGGAACAAACCTCGATAAAATATCCAAGTCGAGCAAACCCTTTTCATCCACTCTTTCCCCTTCAGACAACCATTACCAACAATACCAGATAGAGACGTGATAGCAATGAGAGACTTACTTTTTTTGTAACTAAAAGAGGAACAACCCTAAATCTCTATGGGAACCACTTCTCTAAAATAAACAAATAAACATCTCAATCTTCGGGGGGTCAAAAAGAGATGCCATCACAAGGCTCTACCTCCCTCCCTCTCTCTCTTTAGAGGAACCACCATTCCCATATGGTGATTCAAATTGGGCACACAAAATCTCTACACTTTCATCCCATATATAATATTAAGAGTCCACACAAAATAAGAAATTTCCTATTGATATAACATATATCTCAAAAGACCAACACATATCCATCATAGTGTTTTAATTTTATCACATTTCTATTTCTTTTAGGAAACTTATCAATATCAATCCCACAAATTATGAAAATATCGCAATTCCACATAATATGGATCAATCTTAATCGATCTCACAAAATATAGGATTTCTTTATGTGGGTCATTTTGGATAGCACCAAATCAAACACTCCCAAAAAAAACCAAAAAAAAATATGTTATTTTTGGATTTTAATATGTTTCCAAATCGTAGATTCAACCAATCTGGATTGACGATCCAACATGGATCTGTCAAATGAATGATCCATCCCCCCATTCCATGTTTCGAACCAGTGCTTTTGAGTGATAACTATGATCTAATTAAATTGATGTACAACCACAAAGATGTACAATGAACAACGAAATTGCAAAATGAAGCATATCTAGCCATGTCATTTAAAAGTTGCAAACTCCACATCAACGAATTGTACGCAATTCTATTCATCACTTGATAAAATTGGCTGAATCCCCCTCTCTATGATCACTCTATTGTGAGATTGAGCAAGCACAATGCACCATTTTTTAGTTCCTGAAGCTCAACTTAATTAGCTGAGCAAGGGGCTTGCATAAGAAACTATCTTTTTGCCATGGTGATCTCTCATAAGAGCATTCACTCTACCTGGCTGATGATCGCCTATAGAACTTTCATCAAAATTTAGTTTCATTCAAATCAGAGATGGAGACTGCCACTAATATGATTTCACTATCCTTTCGGCCCTAATCACTACAACCTCATATAAGTTATTAACGCCATCATCATTTGAAATCTGAGGTAACTCCTTCAAATAGAGGCCACTATTTTGGATTTCTGCATCAAACACAAACACATCTCTCTCAATTTACTTCCACTCCGGCGAGCAGCTCGCGTTGTGTATGCGTAGTGATGTTGCTTATGCGTGTGCTAGTTATCCTTCAATCCATTTATAGGGATGGCAATAGGTCGGGTAAATACGGTCCAGCTCTGCCCCAACTTAGTCCTAACCAGATTAGGTAACACCCAGACCCAGATCAAGAAATTATAAAAAAAAAAAAATTTGTTTTATATTATTTAATATACATATTTTAAAATTTTAAATATTTTAGACTAGGCCTAGACCCTATCCAACCCAATAGGTCCATACCAAAACCCAGACCCGAACACAATCCCTTGGGTCCAAGTTTTGGACCCAGACCCAATGAGGGTTGACCCGCTGGGTCTGTCCATTTAATGATTATGCCAGGAAAAAGGGCACCTTAGGTTTTGCAGCCTTTCATTTTCTTGGAAGCTTCATGTATGAGGAATCACACGAGACTTTAGTTTTGACCCTTTTTGATTGATTGATTGAACTTTACCTTTGGTTGTTATAGTGGGCGAGCTCCGTTGCAGAGATCCCCACTTGTCTTTGATGTTTCAACTGTCCCTTTTTAACCTATGTCCACCATTTTATTTCAAGGAAAATTGTTTCATGACTCCGGGGACGCATTTTTACATCTGCACCCCCAAGTCATAAGGCATGCATCTTAAAGATGGATGCAAATGGGTGTATCTTTTAAAAACAGTTGAAATTAACGGTCCACGTGATATTTCATATAATTATATTTTTATTCTTAAAAATTTTATTTATTTTGTTCCTGCTCATGATCTCTATGTTAGAGATCACATGTCTTTAACAATTGGGTCCAAAAATCCATCTCAAAAATGAACTATTAAAAGGGCACTCATTTTTATGCGGACTCACATAAAACTTGCCCTTAGTTCAATCAAATAGCGGGTGTGCATTATAATACGGCCGCAGCTTTGTACTCGAAATCTCATATAGAAATTAAATCCTTATAATGGCTTTCAAGACTATTTCTGTCCTTGAAATTTGAAGCTTCGAAAAGTACAAATATGGTGGAGCCATGATACCTAATGTCCAAAACATATGTTACAAAAAGGTTATTTGATGGACTTAAAATTTAATTTAATTTTTTTTTAATTCATAATTATCGAGATCGAAATAATATATTTATGTATTTACACGAATTTTCCAACAAGATTTGAGGTGGCACTTAAGAATAA